CCTTGGAGCTGTGCTGGTTTTGTTTATTAAACTTCTACTTTGATCCCACACTCTGTCTATCTTAGTCGTTGTGTCTTTGGGTAAGACAACTCACCCACCTTACGTACTGATAGTGGTCAGAGGGTCTGGTGACACTGGTGCGAGGCAGCCCCGCCCCAGGGCAGCTGTGTGTGAATGTGTGAATATTTGTAAGTGTGAAGTGCTTTCGATTCTGATGGGACTTGATAAAGTGTCATAAATTTAGTCCATTTAGCATCAGAATAAAAAAGTTTCACTAAACATGTTTCTAGATCAGATCTGTTTATTTTGAAGATTTCATAAACTTTTCATAATAAGAGCAGAAAGAAGACAAAAAGCAGAAGAAGAGAGGGGTGAGATCATCTGTTCATTTCAGAAGTGATACTCTGTGATGACATCATCAGACTCATCATCCAATCTCTGTTTAATCTGGTTGGGCGGAGTCATCACCATGGAGACAGAATGGACACTTCCTGTAATTACAGGAAATTATAAAGATAAGTGGATAAACATCAACACATCACCTGAATTAGATAAAACCCATCTTGATTGATTAATTGATTGGTTGATTGATTGATTGATTGATTGATTATGCCTGTCATTGTACAGAGCACAATGAAATTACATTTAAGAACACCCATTCAAGAAGACACACATGACAAACATGGGGGAACAGGTGAACAAGTCATGTGGCAACCAGCAGGGGTCGCGCTACCTTTAAAAAGAAAAACAAAAATACCACAGAAGGTTAGATGAGGGGAAAAAAACATCATATTATATCAAYGAAATATGATACACTATGGTGTTTATAGAAAAAATACCTCTGCAGAACAAGAATTTATTAGCCAGAGGAGTAGTGAGTTTAGAGGGCRTGTATCTGAAGCCATGAATGGTTTATGCACTTGTGTGAATATCTGAAGAATGAGTCCGAAGAATCTAGCCCCCCAAAAGAAGAACCCATAGTTCAGCCAAAGTTCAAAATACTGATGTGGTTGTTCATTATGTGCAGCTCTAGGTTGACCTTCAGGGGATCAGATTAGACAGGAGGGTGGGGACCAAGCCAAGTCGACGTAAACACCAGGAGAAATTAGATCTACAGCTCTTCAAGGCCATGTAGGGGACTGCCAAATCACTTGTTCGGGAAATGAAGAAAATGTTTTTGGTCAGGCAGACAACAATAATTTTCCATCTGTCCTAATGTCCGCTGGTACATCTCAATGTGGCAAATCCAATCAGACAAATAGTGTGGACAATTCCGCCGAGCTATCAGCTTCTCCAAGATCAATTTCATCTTGCCAGCAAAGTCCAGAGACCGCAGTCGGCCTGCGACCCTCAGCAGAACTGCTTGCAGACCGAGTCCCAGCTCACGCATGACATGAGTCTGAGTGCTGAAAGCACAAGAAGGGGGTCTTTGCAGAGCATGTTGTCCTGTGGGCCGAGACAGCCCAAATCGTGATTGGCGGAGGTCTTGATGTGGGCGGAGACGGCCCAAGAGATGTGATTGGTAGGATTGATGGTGGGGTTTGAGGAGGCTGAAGGCAGTGGGGAGTAGCTTGGTCAAGTTGGGCAGGAAGCAAAATTTTTTAAAGATTAATTTTAGTCATAACTTGAGAAAGGAAAGTGCCAGCTGCACGAAATTTGAACGTTGTACATGTAATTTACAGGTGTGTGTAGCATTTTAATGCATACAAATTATCATTTCTGATTAGATTTCACTTGTTCCTATGACAACAGCTCAGAAAGGAAGAAAACTCCCACTTTGACTTCAGACTATTTCTAAAGATTTTTGCATGGAACTTCCTTTGTGGCTCGAATTAACATATCTCACACAAACCCCCACCAGACGTCCCGATGCCTTTCCGTTAATAGATAAGAATTGCCACATTCCTGAACCCCCACAAGTTCAAGTGACCATAAGGACTGTCTGTTTGTTCCATCTTCAAAAGGACCATAAATGCCTTTAACCAGACTCTTCGGTGTGACTGAGAACAAAGGAATCCACATTCTTCATCCATCCCTCCATTTTCTGTACACACTTCTTCCTTTTCAGGGTTGCGTGGGTCACTGGTGCCCATATCCAGCAGTCACAGTGCGAGGGGCGGGGTACACCCTGGACAGGTCTCAAGTCCATCACAGTCTACATTCTTCATTAAATGTGAAAAAAGCAGAAAAGATAAAGGAATCTGTGTATCTAATGTTTTCTGTCTTATTGCAAAGAATGTCATCTAATCCATTTTTCTTACAGAAAAGAACTAAAAAGATGTATGTATGATGTATATGTATGTAGGTGTATATATA